AACCCTTCATAAACCCTAAACCCTAAACCCTAAACCCTAAGCCTAAGCTTCGAGGTTTCAGCCGCCGTCTTCGTCGATCACATGCAGGATTCCAAAGAAGCTGCTGCTGCTCGTCGAGGCACGGCACACTGGGCAGAGGGGGTTCGTCTGCCCTTTTCGTCTTCTGGGTTTCTGAGAGGGGCCTTCATAATTAGAATAGGGTTTTGGGCCCCTTTATAGTATCAATATCGTAAGGAACCCCCCAAAATGACAGTGGGAAATAATGTAGGCTTCTATATTATCAGTGATCTGGGTTTCGGGATGCATGGTGTAGGGGCCGGAGCAGGGACAGGACTTGCAGTCAGGAGCTTCGGGGTTTATGATGCTTCGTAGAGTTTAGGGTTTAGGATTTCGGGTTTAGGGTTTAGGGTTCAGGGTTTAGGGTTTAGGGTTTCATAGATTTAGGATTGAGATGCAACGGTGGTCGGTCCATTTGTATCGGGATATGGGACAGGAAATGGGTTTTTGTTCTCAGGCCAGCAAGGGGCAATCGACAACTGTACACCGGTATTGACAAGGACTCTAACACGATCTTCAACTCCACTGCTGTAACTCGTGGCATGCATCTAAAACGGATTTTGGGCCGAGAGCCGAAGCCGTACCTACGTCTTTCCGCGGAGGCATCCGAGACATGTGCTTCGAGGCGGCCACGCAGTTCGGTGGGAATGTGCCGGCTTGGACTATCGTCGTCCTGTACCGGCTGGAGGACGCCACGATGAGAAAAACCCTGAACCCTAAACCCCTAAACCCTAAGCCCTAACCCCCCCTAAACCCCTAACCCCTAAACCCCTAGACCCCTCAAACCCTAAACCCCTCAACCCCTATACCCCTAACCCCTAAACCCCTAAACGCCTAAACCCCTACACCCCTAAACCCCTAAACCCTAAACCCTAAACCCCCCTAAACTCCTAAACCCCTAAACCATGTAATCCCGAGTCATAAACAAAAGCAGCTCAGGGCCTCGATCTGGCTTCCTGGTTTTCTTTGGATTTAGGATACTAATACTGTTTAGGGTTTAGGGTTTAGGGTAAGACCTATGAATACCAATAAACTTAACAATACAGTAACATATTTAGCAAGGTTAGGGATTTAGGGCTTAGTGCGAAGCCCAATTTCGGTATGAGCTGGAGGATGAGCACGTGAAGTGCGAGGCATACGACCGCCTTTATCCAGTGAACGCGCTCCGGAACGCTGCGCTGGAGCCCCTTCGCATCCACAACCTGAGTTTAGGCTTTCGGGGATTAGGGCTTACTGGGTCTAGGGGTAAGCTAGCGTCCTTTTTCGAAGGTTTGGCGTTTAGGGTTTCAGGTTCTGTCCTGTGTTTCGGAGCTGTCGGTTGTTTAGAGGCTCGACTTGCCCTTGAGCCGTTGTACGTAGCTTGGATGTAACCATTGCAAGTTCGGTAATTATCAGCTTTACCAGGAGCAAAGTGTCGCCTAACTCTCGAAGCAGTAAGCAGGCCTCCAACTCGAATTCCCAACCGTGCAGCCCAAGTCTGGACGATGGAATTGCTGAGTGCAGTCCATCTCTGAGTTGATCTCTGAACCCGAAACCCTAAACCCGATCACCATCAAGGCCTGTGGTGGGCAAGATTGGGCTAGGTGGTGCATGGAGCGCGCCCAGAAATGTAGGAATCATGCAGGGTGCAGAGTTAGGGTTTAGGGTTTAGGGTTTAGGGTTTAGTGTTTAGGGAGTATGCAGAGCTGGACGGGCTGTGGGCTGTGCTGTACAGCCGCTGATGTTGTTGAACAAGGTTGCTGTGCCTTGCGGTTATGCTTTCGTTTCATGGTGTTGCTTTCAAGACTGCGGGGTTTGTTGGGATTTGGTTGGATGCTGTAAGATGCATAGGTGGTGAGGAATGTCCAAATATACTAGGGGCTTAGACCCTCCATGTAACCCTAAACCCTAAACCCTAAACCCAATGTAAGGATTTAAGTGTAACTGCAGGACATCGGAAGGCGTGGGTGGAAGATGCCGGATTCCTGCTGCCGGGGTTCCAGACCCCCAAAATATACAAACCAACAGAAGCTCGACCCTAAACCCTAAACCCTAGACCCTAAACCCCCAAAATTAAAGACCAAAAGAACCCAGACCCTAAACGCCAAGCCCTAAACCCACAGTATGAAAAAAAAACAAAAAGAACCTAGACCATCGAGTCTAAACCCCCCTGATCTGCTCCAGAACACTCGAGCCTTTATGGAACCTTCTCGAAATACCCTTTCTTGAGGGTTTAGGGGTTTAGGGTTTGGGGTATCATGAATATAATATATAGAGGCCTGAACAGGGTCTAGGGGTTTTGGTTTTAGGGGTTTAGGGTTTGGGGTATCATGAATATAGAGGCCTGAACAACAGCTTTATATCATGCTCAACTTTGGGTCAAGCCCCCCAAAGGCTCGAGGTATTGGGTATTGACTGCAACGCTTAATTCCGCAAAAGAACCTCTCATATTAAGGATAGATAAAGCAATCATACGCCAAAGAAGTCACAATTTCAAGCTCGACGTTTAGGTTCCTGGCCCCGTATTTGTGTTAAGCCGTCAAGCCTTCACGGACCCTAAACCCTAAACCCCTCTACTCCCTAAACCCTAAATCCTAAACCCTAAACCCTAAACTTGAATCAAGGTTAGAAGTGCAATCTTCGTCTCTTCCCGAGGCATGCTCGGTCGGACCTCCTGTTCCTCGTGGACGTGGACTTTGTCCCCAGCCGGAGGTCGCTGAAGCTTCGCAATATAGGGGACTAAATAATTAGAATAGGGTTTTGGGGCCCATGATACTCTAGTTATAATAAGGAACCCCCCAAGCTACTAGTGGTAAGCTTTTGGGCTTCTTAGTATCATCGTTTCGAGGCCTAGGGAGCCTAGCAGTATCATCGTTGCGGGATGCTTGGAGGAAGCATCCGGGTGCCAGAGTTTGGGGTTTCAGAGGCATTCATGGCAGAAGTACTTGCATAAACTCTTCAGGAGCCCCTGAACCCTAAACCCCAAACCTGAGCCCTAAACCCTAAACCCTGAAACCCTAAAGCCCTAAAACCTAAAATCCCCAACCTTAAGCCCTGTGAAGACCCAGGCGGTCCCGCGTCGCAAGTGTCGGAAGCAGCTCGTGATTCCAGCAGGACCATCAGAGCTATCACCCTTTCAGTCCCTTTCAGCTGTCAGAGATCACCCGCTTGGTTCGAGAAGCGACAGAGGCTGCCGAGAAGGACGGCCGCGAGTCCATCGGCGGCAATCTCAAGCGCATGGCGTCTGCCAAGAACCCCGTCGCCTTTTGCGCAGTGTGTGGTGCTGGCAAGCATTATGTCAAGTGGGGTGAGACACGCACGTCGTTGAGGACCATGAAAGCAGTCGTCAGGGGTTCCCAGTGCTACGCTTGCACGCGTGCGGCCCTGTACCTGCACGCAGCCTGCCGGGCCGTGTCTGTGCACAGTGAAGTGGAAGGGCCCATGGACGTTTGGAGGGCCAAGAGTGCCTTGATCCGATCCCACCTTCGCAGTTACCAGGGGGACACGTGCGCATGCTCTGAATGCACGGACTAAGCCCGACCATTTCCGCACTGTTCACGGGGTTGCCTGCAGTTTGCCTTGCTCCTCCAACCATGATAGTGTAGAGAGCTGCACGGGATCTAGGTGTGTTCGGCTGGCAGGGCGCAGGTTTGGGTTCCAGGCTGTGGGTTGGCTTTAGGATTTAGGGTTCCGGGCTGTGGGTTGGCTTTTAATATAAAAATTTATGAAGCTAAGTTGTAGGTAGAACTTC